AAATATTTTTTTTTAAAAAGAAAAAAAAAGAACATGGCTGCCTGCTTGCCTGTCTGCCAGCCTGCCTGTCTGTCTGCCTGCCTGCCTGCCTTTCTGTCTGTCAGTCACTCTTCTCATGCCTCCCTTCTCTGTGTGTCCCCCTGTGTCTCCCTTATCACCCACCCCTCTATACCGCATCTCTGTTACCCCACACCCCTAGAGTGCAGTTTCCAACAAAAAAAACAACAAATGTAAGGCGTCGTGATGAAATCAGGCGGTCGTCAAAATAGTGAAATCGAAGAAACCGATTGTTTCACTCATTTGGCAATTTTTATCGATTTTTTGGGTTTCGTTTTAGCCCATCGCCTTTTATGTCCATTTCAAAACATATTTATGTGTGAATTTTTACTGAAAAACGTTGATTAAAGGACCCCCCCTCCCCCAGTAAGTTTACCATTTTTAAAGACTCTCAAACTTTGGATGACACCAAATTTTGGAGGCCAGATTTTCGTTTATTTTACCTCTGAAACCAGGCGACGCTCATCTTCTTCAATCGAAAATATCTCGATTTCTATTCAAGACTAGTGGATCTGTCTTTCATCGAAAGCAAAACGTGGGTGGTTGGCGGGTGCTCTGGTGTGGTTTGCTTCTTCTTTCCTATCAAACGTCTATCGTCCTGATCTCTCCTCCTTCTATTTTGTGTTTGTTCCTCTCTTGTAACACCTCTAATCTTCGGCACTTATATGACCTTATTGTGTTGCAAGTGCCGTAAAACTCTTTACTAAAACTAAAAAACTAAAGAAAGCAAAACAAATGAACAAGTCTTTTAATTTAAGATGATAACAGTTACTCCACATGCCCCAACATTGTGTGAACAAAATTGAGTAAATAGTGCCGTAAAACACATGTTCAATCAATTAATCTACCAAAATTGTGATACAAGCTAATTTCCTCCTCTAGCAAAACAAACAGTACCACGACAGATGGCTTAAAAGAGGAAGTGATTCCCATCATCTACCAGTTCATTGGCATCGCCTTTGGCGCCTTCCTCGGTGGCTTCCTCGCTGTGTCTTGCTGGCAGTGGGCAGCTGAAATTCAGGTGAGCAAGTTGAAAGTTCAAGGGTAAGTTTTAAAAAAATGTCTTTTTTAAATGCAGCCACCGAGTCAATACCTATGCCAGACGTGGGTGCATATTGCTTTTTTTCTTATTCTTTCTTTTTTTTTTTTAAAGCTGCAGTGTGCATGTGTTGGAGCACGGGATCCCTTTGAAATAATAGTCGTATAATTTTACTTGATCTTGCAAGCCCTAGCCTATCAATTGAGAAACCTTCGATATCCCGTCATACGACGTAGGTATGACAGAGTATTAAAAGAACATTTTAACACCAGCTCACGTTTACTACACACAAATAATAAAAACAGGCTTTTAAGTTTATTCCTAGCATATGGTCAGATTTTAAGTTTGTTTCAATCATTTTTTTCAGTTTATTTCGTACTCGTAATGAGATCTATGTTTGATTATATTATTTTGTACTCGTAATAAGAATCAAGTTTTAAGCCTTTTATGTCTCTACCAGGTGAGCGAAATGAGGAAGACTTTCTTCCGCGCTGTGATGAGACAAGACATGAGCTGGTTTGACGTCAATGAGTCGGGAGAAATCAGTTCTCGATTTTCAGAGTAAGTCAGCTCCTTTACATTGGGTCTCTCTCTCTCTCTCTCTCTCTCTTTCTCTCTCTCTCTCTCTGTCTCTCTCTCTGTCTCTCTCTCTGTCTCTCTGTCTGTCTCTCTCTCTCTCTTTCTCTCTCTCTCTCTCTCTGTCTCTCTCTCTCTCTCTCTCTCTCTCTCTCTCTCTCTTCCTCTCCTCCCGTCGGTGTATCTATCTGTCTGTCTGTCTGTCAGTCTGACTGTTTCTTTATCTGTCTGTCTGTTTGCCTCTCTCGCTCTCCATTTCTCTCTCTCCATTTCTCTCTTCCTCTTTCACCCCCCCCCCCTTCTCTCCCTGAGTACTTGTATGCGCGTGTTTGTGTGTGTGTTTGTTTGTTAGTAGGTATGTGTGTTTGTATGTGTGTGTTTGTATGTGTGTGTGTGTTTGTATGTGTGTGTGTGTGTGTGTGTGTGTGTGTGTGTGTGTGTGTGTGTGTGTGTTTGTATCATGTATGTGTGGGTGTTCGTATGTGTGTGTGAGTGAGAGTGTGTGTGTGTGTGTGTGTGTCCGCGTGTGTGTGAGTGTGTAAGGGTGATTGAGGGGGGGGGGGTAACCGCTTCGTATCGTTCGTTGCCATTGTTAGTGTCGATCTTCTTTGAATCCCAACTGGGTGGATCGAGTCCACTCGGGTGCTGGAGTATTCAGCCTCTTCAAGTCCTCACTCGACAAGGAGTAGATTTTAAATACTCGAGTACTCGATCAACAAACAGACAGACACCTAAACACAAGACAGTAGAAATAATGTATAATGTGTCTGTGAGTGTGTTTACATGTGGGTGTAATTGTGTGTGTTTGCGTGTATGTCTGCGTGTGTGTTCGTGTGTGTGTGTTCGCGTGTGTGTGTGTGTGTGTGTGTGTACATAAGTGTGTGTGTGTGTGTGTGTGTGTGTGTGTGTGTGTGTGTGTGTGAGAGAGAGAGAGAGAGAGAGAGAGAGAGAGAGAGAGAGAGAGAGAGTGTGTTTGTATGAGCGAGCGAGGGAGCGAGAGAGAGAGAGAGAGAGAGAGAGAGAGAGAGAGAGAGAGAGAGAGAGAGAGAGAGAGAGAGAGAGAGAGAGAGAGAGAGAGAGAGAGAGAAAGAGAGAGAGAGAAATATATTGTATAAGCGTATAACAGAATCACAGCCTAAATTGAACTTCATTTTTTTTCTCAGGGATATGAGTAAGATCTCAGAGGGCATAGGCGACAAACTGGCCATCTTCGTACAGTGGACAACCACTTGGATTTCTGCCTACATCATGGCGTTTGTCAGTGACTGGAGACTGACCCTGGCTGTGATTGTGTTCAGCCCTATCATCATTTTGGTTGGGTCAATCTTAGTCAAGGTAAGCTTTTTACTAACTTTATGTGTGTTCTGTTATCGGGTGTGTCACCTCAAAATAATCAAACATGCTATAGCTTGTTGACTTTCGTTTGTCCGCAGTTAAGACAAGACAACAAGTCATCTCTTTTAATCTTCACAATGTCTTTCCATGCGGGTCGAAAATTCGGATGAGCAGCAGAATATAAAAGCCCATTAATGAAGGCCACTGCAGACTAAGGTTCCCATATATTTTCTTTGATGTTAGCCTACAGTGGGACAAAAGATAATAGATCAACAGAATGCATCTTAAACATCGGAAGGTTGAACCAATTTAATCAATACCACTCTTTAACCTACGCCTATGAAACAAAGTCCAACAGACGGCTGAGCACTCTTCGAGACTCATAATATGGAGACGTTTAAACGGTTTTGGGAGGAACTTTACAAGTTAACATTGACATTTGGGAGCAGGTTTGTGTTGCTGTCTCAAAATGAGCAACTTGTAGGCTATGTTACTGTAAATCATTTATTGTAGTAATCCCGTTTGTACATTCAAAGGGTGGTGTGTAATATAGGGTCCAAATAAAGAAACATTAATTTTTCATCACTGGATCAATAATTTTAGCCAAATATTTTTGTTTGGTGGCCACACACAGGAGTGCCAGGTAAAGTTACCTGTGCGTTCGCTGGCAAATAAACAAATGAGCTAGAATTTTTAACGCAATCAGACGAACGTGAACAGACTCTAGATATATTGTATTATAATGGAAAGGTTGCTATTTGATGCCTCCTCGCCGAAAGCTCAGTCAATTTTACCATGGGTGGGAACGCAGAGAATCCTGTTTTGAATCTTTATTCGTACTTAGACAGCAAAATATCTTGTCAGTATGTTAGTGTTTTAGAGCCTATAAATGGCTGCTTGCATTATATACTTCACAGGAAGTTGTTTCAGAAAGCTCTCGGGTCTGCTGGGGTAATAGTATAGATTGTGAAGCGTATAGAGCTTGCTGTTGAGCGGGAATTTGCGCTATACAAATGCTATTTATTATTATTACTTTAAAAGAAATATAACGTCGGCCTGGTGATAAAACCGACTAACCCACAAAATGTCAAAAAATATTTTATTGGCCCTATCGACAGCAAATTGTCCATTTCATATGCTCACTTATAGTCAAATCTAAATTTTTGTCTAGAAATGTCTTTAAAACATCAGAAATAAAACCGTATAACCCGCCATCCATCGGATTTTAGCCCGATGTTTCCGACTATCCCACCTGCGAGGGAGGGAATGAGGGTTGGCTGTTTTTGTCGCGCTAACAATGAGGGGCCATGTGCTACGTTACCGACTAACCCCGGCTTCGACTCGTCTCAGGACTTCGTTTGATAGTCCAGAATTCTCTCACATAACCATGTGAGCTCTTCAAAAGGGAAATTTGTGTAATATTTCTTGTTGGTTTCATTTGGGAGTTATATAGATCTGGTTGTTCCCTCTTTTTTTTCTTTTTAATGCTGCTGATAATGTTATTAATGACTAAAACTCCCCACTGTGCCCACAGAACTGTTTTTATCTCGTGACAATGCCGGTATTTCAAATGCATCTTTATGGATTTTGTTTTATATGAAACAATTTTTTTCTGTCCACGTGTTATTCTTTGTCTTTGCACTTGAAAGTTACCGAATTAAGAAGGCATTTTCACTTATTCGGACTACTGTCTCTTTTCCTAATAATTTTTTCCATTGCAATTGAATTGACGAAGTCGATACTTTTTCATTCTTTACTAACTCACTCACACAAAAAAATGTGGGATCTGTCCAGCACACCGTCTGCCCCCAACGATCGTTTTCTTTTAACGTTTTTTTTTTTCATTTGCAGTGCTTATTGCGGTTATTACCTTCTGAAACATCTTTCCACTTTCTTTGAAAGTTCATTTCGTTTGTGTTTTGTACAGATTATTTTCTCAGTGTCATAACATAATGCTGTATCTTTATATCAAACCTTAACTTACATAACGCTATAACATTTAATAAGATGATGCCACTCTTGCTACGTCACTTCTGACCCTCAGCACAATGGAAAGTGATCAACATGACCAGGCTAATGTCACATCAGTTGATAATAAAACAGTTATGTCACCTTTGATCTCTACGAAAAGGACACGACATAAAAACGATTGGAAGGGTAACAAAAGGAAGAGGTTGAAAGAACTGGGGATGCCTCTACACATGTCAAGGCACGAAGCGAGCAGGGTGTGAACTTGACGTCCTTTGCTGTTGTAAACTGGTTGGTACAAAATGCAATGACATCACTGGTCACTCTCTTGGAAAG